GTTTGCTTTAGTTGAGTACAATCCTTTGAAATTAGAATCGAAGCGTGCCATTTAGCGAATTTCTATGGCCCCTACAAAGTTAATAATACGCTAGTTGCTTTAGGCCCGGCATTTAATAATATTATTTTCTTAAACTCGGGTGCACATTTATGTGACCCAAATCCAAATCCCAACGAAGTTGAAATGTGTCAAAAACCACGGGTGCACTGGTGCGACGTGGTCCGAGACGCATTTTCACGACGTTGCAATCTTATTAAAAATAACAATAAAAGCGGTTTACCACTAAAAGGCATATAGGTTAGAATATGTTTTAAAATCAGATAAAAGCAAATACAACAGTTGAGCGACCGTGCTAGAACCACGGAATCCGGGAATGCCTAATACCTTCTCCCGGGTTAACAGAATTCCTTACTCGGAGTTCTGGTTCGCGGACTGTTAACAGAGTCATAATTTCCTCGGATCGGGATTCAAACGGTGACTTGGGACACCATTAATCTCCCAAGTGGCGACTCTGAATATTAATAATAAATCCCGTTCCGACTGTCCTTTAATTGGAAAAACTCCTTTGCACCCTCACTGGTGTAGCGAAAAGGGAGGTGTGACACTTTCCAATGGCAATATTTCTTCACCTGCTTAAGGTCGCCCTCGGTTATCGAGCATATATATTTCGACATTGGCTCACATCGGCCGGGGACCAACGAGGGTTTCTCAACCTTGAAATCGAAAGTAAGATCGCACACCCCGGGTACACACTCCTCGATGCGTGGCTCTACCGGCGTCTTGTCGCTGGCCGGCCGCGATGAAGAAGCTTTCTCCTTCTGAGGAACGGTTTTTGATGTTTTTGCCATCTTTATATGGATTCAGGGAAAGAAAAATATGAGATTTGTAGTTTTGAAAAATGGTTGGTAACTGTGCAAGGATGGAGAGACTTGATAAGATATGAAGAACTTTGGAGATCTGTAGAAAGACTTAAAGAACTCAGAAGTATTTTGAAGATTAGTGCAAGGAAGATTCAAAGTAAAGTTTAAAGAAGTGAGAAGAAGACCTATTTAAGGATTCGCGGCGATGGTTCACAGGTACTAGTGGCCGACCATCAACTGACACTCATTACTGATCTTGGTAACCGTATCAACGCGACGCTCCGGTCGCTTCTGTCACTTACGTCACAAGGGTGACATCATAACTAGTTGAAGTATGAAATCGAAGGCTCAGTTCGTTTCTTCTCATTACACTCCAAGAAACGAGGGGACTATCTGTATATAGTTAAAATAGGACTTGTCTTATTTGCCATTTAATCAAAGACCGGGGAATCACGTCGAGAGTTAGTCTCGTAATGGATCAGGTCAGAGCACAAAGATAAGGTATCGAGCCCGAGAATCGAGGTGCTCGTCGAGATCGAGGTCAACGGCGATCGAGACCATATATGACAGACTTCGAATGAAGCGCAATAACGGAAAGGCGAGATATCCGTAACCTGTCAAAGAACAGCACGGCGGAAATCCCGGATAGATCAGATGAAGGACGGTTATTTAGGCTAATCATGGGATTTACTTCTGTAATTAGAGTTATACCATAATTAAGACTCCTCTACTATATAAAGAGGAGTCTCCATCATTTATAGACACCTTACATTCACGAATATCAAAGCAATATAATATTTCTCAGCTTACTTTCTTGTTCATCAGCTTATTGTGCCTTTAACTATTCTTGTATAACTAGCTCGAGGGTGTCCGAGCTCGAGGGCTCTGTCCAAACGCTGGTTTGCTTTATATTATTGTCAATTTGCGTCACTTATCTTTACGCTATTAACTGGTATTAGATGAAATCATATATCCTTAAAACTATATTATAAGTTTAATTGTTATCTAATTTTTAGGGTAAATAGTTTCATTTTTCAATCTCTCACAAATCCCTTATACGTTTTTTTCATATAAATCGAAAATGAAGTCTCATGTGTTGAATGGAATTTGAAACAAATATTCAAAGGAAATAATTGGTTAATAAATATATCGATTTTGAAACTCACTTAATTTTTGGTAATGTCATTCAACATTCAAAGGAATAATCCCTTGCTTGTCATGTCATACAAATGATAATGAGAACCTTACACTTACGAGAATAAATTGATTATATACGAATACCAAATATTCTTCGTATTTTCCTCCTCTCTCTCTCTCTTTTCTTTTTCTCTTTTTTGGGTTTCGTTTTCTCTTCCCTCTCAATATAAGCTAGTTTGAAATGAATTGGATCTTATTTCCTTCGAGGTAATCATACTTTCTTCGGTAGATATTGTTGGGTTTTGTTAATTAAAACAAGAGAGATGTGAATGGAAAATTGTGGGAAAAGAAATGGGGGAAATGAAATTTTGAATTAGTTTATTTTACAAAGGAACTTTGTCCCTCATTGGATAGGAAGAGGAAAATTCTTGTGCTTATATATGGAAGCACTTCTTCTAGCTCTTAAAGAGTTGAGAAGAGAACAAGTCTCGCGCCGTCATCGTTGGATTCGGATTTGGTCAATTGATATAATTGATTGATAATTTTTTGGACCAAATTTAATTTTCTTTTTCGTCATTTAATATTTTCTTTTCTAATATTTTTGCGCGAAAAATATGAATTCGCGGAATCATTTTCCAACGGTCGAATTCGCGACCAAACATTCCATTCAACAGAAATTCAAATAATTTCTGCGGAATAGACATCTTATTAACGAACAGGCATCTTTGCACCTGTTGGGACTCAACTTCGTTGGCTATAAATAGAGAGGCTTAGCCTCATTTTCCAGTACCGAAATCTAAATATTTCTCCCCTCTATCTTATGCATTCTGCATTATTTTTTAAAGCAAAAAAGTAAGCATTTTGTGTGATTTGCTCCGCCATTTGAGTTCGCCGAAGTTCTGTGATTTGAAGTGCCGCCATCACAAAATAGTTATTCCATTCTATCTTGGGAGAAATTAATCCGAAACCTTGGACAACTGTGAGGGGATTAAATTCCTTAAGGACACACAAGAAACTTGTGGGCTCGGAATTTTTCTGTTTTGTTTTGCTTAAACTAACGTTTTCTGATTTTCTGATTTTGAATACAGTGAGATAACATATATGCTCTTAATCTTGCCCCGATTACATCTAGACAAATAGAAGCAAGCTGGCGAGCAATGACAAGAAATGTTGATTCACTTTACAATCTGTTTGGATGGTTGTTACTTGTTGTATCGTATTGTATTGTTACTTTAAATACAATATTTATTTTGATTGTTAATTAAATTTTATTGTATCATATCATTAAATCTGTCACTACATAACGACGAAAAATGTCACTTTATGGAAAGACTGAGTTGGTGTGATCATGACGGTATCTTATCTTGTTCTCTCATATATCTTGCCCTTATAAATTATTAAATAATCTTATTTTATCCTTTATCCTATCTTTTTATATAATTCGACCTCGTAACTTACTTTTCTTTATAGTATTGCAATTTTATTATTTATATTGTTGGTGCATGACATCATGAAATGACGAAAAACAGTACAATCTATCCAAACATTGTATACATCAAGACGATACAAAACAATACAATACAATATTCTACGATATATTATGAAATGACACATAACAACCATCCAAACAAGTTGTTAAATAATAACCAATTTTTTTTTGTTCTTCCAATGACTATAAGGACTATAACGAATAAAAGTCAAGCATGTGAAATTTTGTCAAAGGCACGAGAAAGAGCTTATTAGTATGGAAAGAACAAGATCATGTTAGTCTCCAAAGTGCTCTATTAGCAGTGAACAATTTCAAGTGAGAAGGCAAATCTTAAAGGAATCAGATCATGACTTTTAGACAAAAACTTTACTGTTTGGTTACATATTTCTTATTTAAGAATCATACTCGAAACCTTTGTCGTTGCTTTAAATCTTTTAAAACTAAAAACAAAAGGCAAATGCGACTAAGTAGACATTTTTCATAGTTAGTAAAAGTCAGAGAACGTAAATTACAATTGCCGACATCAACCTTAATCATTAACGATGGAAAAATAGCAAAATATAAGGAAACTATAAAAAAAAAAAGTCTGAAAAACCATAACAAAAGTACGTAATTGTGGACCCATTGTACAGTTAGTAGTCAACTAGTACGACTTCGAGTATAGTACGTACAAGAAGTTGACCGTGGAGCCTGCTTATGTCACGTTTGAAATTTTTTATTTTTCATTATTTCCTTTTGGCTACTTTTGCAAAATAAATAAATATTATACTAACATGTAAGTATTAAATAAAAATGATTATATAGAGAAGCAAAATTGTCGAACCACAGAACTTGAGATACTAGTAGACAATATATCCATTAAATCTGCATCTTTTAATCGTTCATTCCTCAAGACTTTTATCATGTATTTGACCCAGAACCAAGTATTTCCAAATCGGGACTCTGACCTCCAGTTGAAAAGCTGAAAAATGCATTTGTGATCTGGTAAAAGGAGCCAAAAATACTTTAAGAGAAACAACTTCATTTCCCAAAAACAAACTTACTCAATTCAACAAATTCTGACATATAACAATTCTATAATCAAATTCAATTATGATATTTCGACTTTTTCATATATAACAGCACCACACAATTCACATTTTATTGGTGTCTAACCACACCACCCTAATTCATTACACATTTCATAATCTTATACAGGGTAATCAGAAGAGTTCAATAACTTAAACATTATAAGGTTTGTTAATGAACGTTGTCATTGACGAAATTGAAATGTACCTTCTTCCCAAAATTCTCTTAAATCGTCCGCTAAACTGAATAGGTAACATATGAAAAGGTACCATTTGGTTCTTTTTTTTTTTTCCTGATGAAACAAACAAATCAGTGGAGAAAAGGCCAGAATTTGGTCGAAATGTTGGTGACTGCAGTAACTGTTATCCCAGTTATCAAACGGAGCAGTACTCAGTTGCAACGCGAGTAGAAATGTAGGTAAAGCAACTTAAAGTTGGACGAGATTATGTTTTGAAGCTCAGGTGCAGTTTAACCGCACTTAGTTAAATTACTCAGGAAATTGGTTACAGAGCGACTACAAATCTAGGATTGACACAACAATTTTGAACACAACTTCTATGATCACGAAAAGGCATGTACCTAAAGACTCCAGTTACCCTGTTTTCTCCATCTTCATTACCTGTACTACACAAAACTACATTTCTAGATCCCTAGTCTCAATACTTTTGTTACCAAAAGAGTGTTATTTCACAGTAGAAACGAAAATATAGTACAAGTTGTTCCTACAAATAAGTTTAGCTGCATAAAGCAGCAACCAATGTGAGCACACCTGCTTGGGTAATCAGGCCAGTGCACTGTCAGTCCGAGCTGCATCTTCAGTCGATTGGCTTCAATAATGTCTCAATCCGTCTGACAGAGCAATGCAACTGTAATTCATTTGTTCTCTCGCCCCAATAATTGAGGAAATGAAGAGAACCACCGATAAATAAATTGAAGCAAATCCAAAGCTTAACCACTCTCTTCACTCAACCCAAACCAGATTTTGTCCCAGATACAGGTCTAAGCATTGAATGACTGAGAGCAGGCTGGGAACTTGCTGGAGCATTAAACATACCGGGTGTTGAAGAGGAAGGGTGTATCGCTGAGAGAGGCAGCCGAGGGCCAAATCCATACATCCCTTGTTGCGGCATAAATGACATGTGAGGATGCATCGGTTGGTTGTTTCCATATCCAGAAATAAAATTTTGTTGTAGAGGACCTGAAACAGCTTGTTGCCTACTATTTCCTGTGTTACTGACCACTGGTGCACCAGCACCAGACACACCCATTGGTCGGGATACTCGAACTGAACCAGGTTGAACTGTCATCATCCGAGCACGCTCTGCAGCAAAGCGTTGCCTTGTTCTCTCCAGTTGTTCACATTCTTTCATTAACAAGGTCTCCACCTCTGCGAACTGCTTCAGCTTCAGCTCTAACCTCTTTAACTGCATGGGGAAAGTAGTAGAGAAATCAAAATTGTTGCAACAAAAAGGTGAAGAGATCCTTAACCGAATATAGTTTGATCAAACATAGAGATCCACAAAAGAAGCTCCCAGTTAGGGCTTGAATTTTTCCTCTTTTTTTTGTTCAATGAGCGGACTAGTTGGGAGTTGAATAAAACAGTGTTAGTACCGTACTACCATCCCTTCCTTTCCAGTAAAGGACTGCTGGGAATAAAACTGACTCAAGTGCATCGCATACAATAGACATGAAACAAAACAACGATAAAAATAGATTTGATATTGAACTTATGGTTAACAACTGACAAATACTCGGTAACTGTAACAGTGTATGTTTCCAATGCTCCTTAATGGGGCAAACTTCGTTCCAGTCATTTCCATTTTGCACTCTTTTTGAATATTACCTTTTGCCATTTTTCCTTTTGGGGCTAGAAGGAAAGCGGGTGAGAAGTGACTATTATTTAACTTTTTTTTTTTGATGAAGAAGTGACTATTATTTAACTTACTATCGATGTCATGTTTATGGTTTCAAAAATATCAAACAAGCACAAGAAAAACTATAGTACTCGAGGCTTACTTGGTCATAAATCCAAGGAGAACTTGAAATTTATCAACAATTTATTATACTGGCATCAAATTTTATCATCATAAGTTTAGAGTGCCCCACACTGTTTGAGAAAATGGATGTGGTTGAGAGGATGGGTTGTTGTCTTCTTATATGGTCTTTGCACAATCCTCATCTCATAACCAAAACTTTAGGGGTTGAATTAGGCCCAAGATCTATTTCTTTATATAGTCTCAGAGCCAAACATATTTATATTCTTGGTTTACCCAATGTTGGCCTGATGTTATGTTGTCCATGCTCTAGATGTCCAACCCAGGCGTGCCATGAGGTGTTAGAAAATCCTACATTCGTTGAGGGAATGGGTTGTTGTCTTCTTATATAGTCTCGATTGAGTAGCCAAATGATCATTTTGTTCACACAAAAATTTTATTTTCTTAACAAGTTCATATCTAGTAGAAAGCTAACTCCAGCATAGCATAAGTCCCCAACAATACATTTATATAATCTACTGAAGATATCATTGATAAAACTAGCAAGAGAGCCTAATAAAAGCTGGAACTATGGAAAAACACTATATAGAGTGAGGTTGTTAGGATAAGCAGACACATGCCAGGTAAATTTTGTCCCATATGAAGAATGAATATAAAGAGATGAGACCCCATCGTGGTGCCTAAATGCAGATAATTCAGAAATCTAATTATCAATCTTCTAGAAAAGTGACATGTCAGATAAACATGTAGCAAATAGAAGTAAAATAGGATAGTGAAATGGAAAATCGCTATGCAATAGGAATATCCCTAATAGACTGAAAGACTTTAAGTTCTACGAAAACTCGTGAAACCATCAATTTTATATGGGGTCCGTTGGTCTTTAAGGCCCAATACATCCACAAGATGAATGTCGTAGAAATGTGGATATTAAGATGGAACTAGGGAAGTGGTCCAGCATAATTAGAAATGATCACATTCAACAGAAAGTACAAGTAGCTGAAAGAAAATGGAGAAGGTCGCATAAAAATGTCTGACCATGTCTATGCGGACCTTCTATGCACCAATAAGTTGGATGATATGATGATTGAAGGTGATAAAGAGAAATGAGGTAGACCTAAAATCACATGAAGGAAAGTTATCTCAAACGACCAAAATCCTCTTCTGATCAATGGAGTAACTAAAAAAATAAGATAGAAAGTATCTACATAAGCAATACAAGCAGTTGGGATTAGCTAAACACTTCGCGTATTACACTTGGCGTGGTATTAATGCAGGACGGTAAAGTGATTGCTTACGCGTCTCGCCAGTTAGTTGTAGTTACACTAGGTCCAGTCTTTATCATGAGTCCTTTCATTCTGAATCTCTTTATTCTGGTTAGACGACTGGTACATCCACTTTATTAGCATTTTCATCTTGATACAAGTGTGAGAGTTAGAGAAATCCTCGCGAGATAAATTATTTATATCGGAATGAATGGCCTAAATAGAGTAGAATGAATAAAGATTCATACAGTTGACCCCAACTAGTTCGGGATTAAGGCATCTGCAGAAGGTATGTATGATGACGAAGTGAACTTCATCCAGACCTCAAACCACAACTCTTCAGTTACATCCTGCAAACCCTAATTCTTCAGACCCAAAATCTTCCAACTTCTTTGACCCAAGTGAATACCACCAACTACCAGCAACAAATAAAAATAAAAAAAGAGAGCTTTAGCAGCAGTTCTTCAAGATATTCAACAGCACATTATTCGTTAAGTTTCAGCAAATAAGCCCATTCCATCTCAACTCGGAGATCCCGACGCCCTCCAGCAAAACCCTAATTCTTCAGACCAAACTCTTCCAACTTTTTTGACCCAAGTAAATACCACCAACTACCAGCGGAAAAAAAAGAGCTTTAGCAGCAGTGCTTCAAGATATTCAACAGCCCATTGTTCGCTAAGTTTCAGCAAATAAGCCCATTCCATCTCAACTCAGAGATCTCAAATATTGCTACAGAAATGTTTTACCCTCCAATCATACAGCACATAACAGCCCCTCGGTAGAACTTTCAAGTACAGTGGGACACCATTGTAAGTATGTAGTACACCTACAAGGCCGTCATAATTGGAAAAATCCAAATGCCTAAAAGTAAAATATGGCAATAAAGAGCACACCCAAAGCAAAACGGGAAAGAAAGAGGATGAAATGGACTCAACAGAATATCAACTAATAGCTAATGATATGTGGAAAATTCCAATGGATTACCAATTGGATATACATAAAAAGTTTGGAGCTAAGTCCAAAAACAACAATTTCAGCAAATTACCTGATGGTTGACTATATTTGCAGATAACCGTTGAATCTCACGTTCTTCATGGTCAGCAAAAAGCTTTGCCTTTATAGCTGCTGCTGCAAGACCAACTTTAGCAGCAGCTCTTACTCTTTCAGTGGATACTGGAGCACCTCCAACATCGTGTTGACCCCATGGACCTTGTCCTCCCGGCTTTTCATCTGAGAAGTTTATATCAGAGAATTATTGGAAAGATGTAATAAGAATAGTACTAGTTCAATTTATAGCCACCTTTTAGCTGATAAGAATTTCCAACATCTCCATGAGGACTTCCATCCTTTCCATGAATTCTTCCTACACTGATCCTGCACGTATGGAAGCAAGTACATATCTTTAGATCAGTAGGCCCGTTAGAAATGTTTCATCCATCACCTTCCATAGGAAACTAATACTTCTGGTATTACCAGCTGCTGAATGCAACAAAATGCATGAAGTCAGACATCTCTAATTTTTTTCTAATAATATTTGCACTAGAAAAAGCTGCTTACCCTATGTTAACCTAAATCTAAATTTTGTTGTTGGTTATAGTGGAGTCTGCCTTTGCTGTCTATTTGAGAGAGTGAAAAGCCAAAATGGATTTCTATAGATGGACCAGCAAGATTTTTAGACTTAGATGCTCCCAAAGCACAGGGTTGTGCAAACAACAGATGACTGAAAGGGAAAGAACAATTTAAAAAGGTGCAATACAAGATTTCGTGAAGCACAAATTACCAAATGCAGAAAGTAGAATAAGGAGAAACACTTAGGCAGTTGGAAAGAAAGAAGTAAAGCATTGTGGGGATGTTCCTAATGGGTCTCCGACTTCAGGCATCAGCCAGATGGGGATGGCAGGTGTCCAGTTTGCTGGCCAAAGACGTGGATGGAGAGTCATGAATTCAAGTTCCAGTTTAACATATACAGCCAAAAATAGACTACTCCACGTGTTTTGATGTCTCTAAGAAGTTTTACTCTGTAGTACATACTTATATATTTTGGTTTTTCTCCAGGTCACGATTCACATACTAATAAAATGCAATATTTTAAATTATTTTGAGCAAGAAAAGAGCCAAATAAAGTAAACTGCAGAAATACCACAAAAGAATTCATTAACAACTAATGAGACAATGCTTGTATCGTACAAATGGGGTCAATAATGGTAACAAAAGCAACTAAAATAGAGAAAACTTTCAGAAATTCTGCATCACATAAAATGCCCAAAATTCATATCAACAATCACAAGTAACATGCTAAATAAAACTAGCATGCAGAATAGAATATGAATACAGAATTGATGAAGAAAGAACAGTAGAAATACACACCCGTTATTAGCTGTAGATCCATCTATCTGAGTCATGTTCAGTGATGTTAAAGTATCATCCTTAGATAAAGCTGCCAAGGAAGCATGGGCGCATGCTGCAGCAACTCTCGGTCCCACAGCAGATGCCAAAAAAGCAACCTACAGACAGTAGAGAGAGATAAATTTTTTCTTCTTTTTATTTCTACCTTATATAAGAAGTCATATGCTTTCTCAACTGTCTATATCATAAACGGTATGGCATAGTCAAAGTAAATGTACTCCAGACAGCTGTTTAATAAAGCACATTTAGCCAAAAATTATAATATGTAACGAGCTAGAGGTGAGATTAGGGAGAGGAGAGTAAGCATAAAGCAAAAATGTAGAGATTAGGCAGCCCGGCAACTGGATAAATACTTTTTTAGTTTCTTTTGGTTCTTACTATGTCCAGATTGCGCTATAGGCTATAGCCTCCCCTTGGTTCTGACAGGGTTTGTATTATCTTTTTTCCTCTTTTTGGTCACACTGATAATAGGCAATTTCCACACCATCAACTAGTGGAGAAGGACTCAGATAGGGACGTACACTTTAAGAGAATCAAGACAATAACCTCCTCAAACTGGGAAAAATCTCATATTCTAATAGAACTTGAACCTACGAACAGGTAGATCCAGGCCCAGGGCCTCAATCTTGACAGTTCTGCTAAGGTCTTCCCTTGTTTAATTAATTAATTCTACAAAGCCATGTTGCATACGCAGCATGGAACAAAAGTGAAAAGGTATTGTGTAATGATTTGGGATCTGATAAATCATTCCAGGATTTTAAAACGAAATGGTAAATAGATTGCAGTAGAGACTAGAGAGAAAATCAAATATGAATTTTGATTTTACAAATACAAAATAAAGGCTGGAATAGACCAGAAAACCATACTAACTGGGTCTGATCTGCAGATAACATCATTAATTTCTGGAAAGAAAAGGAATATCACTAGGCAAGTTATTTTATCAAAATCTGAATCTTCTTTCTTAGAAGCATCATTATGAATTTCAACGTGTTTCACTGCTATAACATTTTTACCATCATAAAAGATCTTTTCAAGAAACCATCTCACATGGAAGACTTCCATAATGTTTCTCATATATAGTTTTTTTTTACTGTTAATCTTTCTCATATATAGTTCGTCTGCTAACTCCCACTTTGACGACCATCTAACCAAAAGGGGACAATGGAATCCTTCTGCAAGTTACAGAAAAAGGATGGCACAGTTCTCTACCACCTTACCTCAATGAAATAACTGATGCGAAAAGGCATGCGTTGAAATGGTACTAAGAGCCCCTTTTTTTAATAGATTAAAAGTAACTAATTAACTAAAAAGTATGAAAAGTACTTTTAAATGTTGAGCTAATATTATAAATAACTTCAGGATTCTTTGCATCTGGATAGAAGTATCAAAACTGATAATAAGCAGCTGGTTTTTTCGGTAAAAAACGCTAATAAGCACTTTGTCTTGGTAAAATGAAAGAAATGCTCTTAAAGCTATTTACAAAAAAATATAATTAAAAATATCTCTCATGGAAAAGGACAAATGGCGAAAATGAACTGGAGAGGGAGTAAGGGGGTTTTGTTTTCGGAAGGGTATTTCAGGGATTACAAAAATAATAGAGATAAAACAGTAAAATATTTTGTAAAACCAAAAGCGCTTATAAGCTGAAAGCTATGAGTTGGGGGTCACCAACCTATCACTTAATTATAAGTACTTGGCTTATAGGCACTTTTGGCGTTTACCAAACAAGTAGAGAAGTCAAACAGTGCTTACAAGCTGGTTTAATCTTTTTTAAGCTTACCCAGACACCCTCTAAAGCTCTCATGAATATGCATTGTACTCCACAATTTCACACAGAGAGATTCGAAAGGAGGATAATAGAAGAGAAACAAAAGATAAAGAACCATTGACATATTCGCGTTCTTAAAGAAGGCATGCCTTTCCCCACCCACAAAAAGAAGGCAGCATTCCTCGAGAATCAACAGATAACGTTGCGGAAACTAGGAACTAAAGTCTCTTCATATGAAAAAGAGGAATACACATTTCATAAGAGCATGTTTACAATAACAAAGTCTTACCAGGGACATTACTGGATTTCCACAGTTTTCAAAAGGAAATTTGCTATCAGAATCAAGGTTTTCAGTGCTTGGTCCTGCATCATAAACGGATAAAGGACGAGAATATTAGAGCTTTAGTGTTGTGATCATACGAAAAAGGAAATGACAAAAGTCCACTGTCTCACCTGCAAGATTCCCGTTCAAATTTGAGTAAGATTTGTTACGATCTTCACCCGCAAAAGAACTTGAGGGACCAGATGCACCTGGAAGTTCAATATTTTCCAATGGGGCACCATCCACAGGCAGGCGGACAAAATGAAGGATGCACTGTGCCTTTGACTTGGTGCCAACATGTTCTGCAATTTGATTCCAGTTTTCATTGTAGAGTTGCATTCCCTCGAGAAGCAATAGCGTTTCCTGGTCAGTCCAAGTATCCCCATCTAGATCTCCATAATCTTTCATAGAGCTTACTTTGACGAAATCCAAGCTAGAGTGACCAGTGACAAATCCACCCTCGTGGAAGCAATCCAAACACAATAGAATATCAATCTGTCAAAGAAAATGCAAGTCAGCTTTGAATGCATCCGCTCAAAAATATTCATCCAAAGTCATATTATCACATGCCTATGTGCCAAATGAAAGGCAAACTTTTTAGTTGCACATGATATCTGCTCCAAATAATGTTGCAGAGAAAAAATTTCATAATCTCAGATATCCTTTTTTGCTAGCAAGAAAGGTTCTTAGACTATTGCTTTTCCCTTCTTTTTGTTAACCTTTGGCAACCTATTTTCTGAAACACTGGTATCCCCTACAGCATTCTAAGTTACCTGTTCAATGATGACAATCTAGAAAGGATGCTGGATTTCAACACAGTATCCACCAATTAATATTTGGCCGACTGCTATACAAAGAAATAGATTAAGCATAAGCACATGTATAACTGTCATGCTGCTTTTTATATGAAACTAAAATCAAACAGTCCAAGTTCATATCAACCGGAGCAGGTTCATATTGGTTAGCCTAATTCATTGATGGGAAGCTAAATACAGGGTAAGTTTTGCTTTTGTCTGGAAATCAAGTAAAGGCATCAAAGAACTTCGAATTGGAAATTTTCCACACTCTCTCTCTCTCCCCACCGTTTGACCTCGGCTTAACTTCGGGAGGCACGGAGAGGAGAAAACTTAAGATCAGTGTACTCTAAATATGATGCAATTGCCCACAGTATACTAATGCTCAAGACAACTGTTGAAAAGCATGTACATCTACAACAACATTAGGAAGCAAAGTATTTATTAACCAAATACTTAAGTTATATGAAGTAGAAGGGTGATCCAAGAGCTATGGATATTTAGAGGAGAATAAGTGGTTCGAAACGGCAAAAACATTTGAGGAAAAAAACAGCTATAGTGGTAACAACATTTAAGAAAATAACAAGTACAAGCAAAGACAACAGTATGTGTGATATACCTCTTTCTGTGACTGATAGTACGACAGTGAAACAGGCCGAGAACAACAATTGCATCGTAGTTCAGACAACAGTTCTCGGATTGAGTTGTCAAAGTCGGAGTCATCATCAAAATCACGCACAAGTTCAGGATAAACATCTCTCGCCTTGAGACAACATTTAGGCTTGTCAAACTGGACTAAGCTGTCAATAGACTTCAAACCAGCCACTGGAACACAGAGATCACTGTTTGAGTCCTCGTACAATGTGACATCTTTTAGGGCCTCCGCTTTAGGAGGAACAGCACAGTAGTTGATGATCCCCCAATGATCAAGAAACCTTGCAATTCGAGTTACATCATCAGCACTGACACCAGCTACAATCCCATGGCAATCAGCAACTGACAAGTGCTTTTCAGGCAACTCCATATACTTTGCAACTATACAATTTCTGCATTCCATGTATTTTTCTGGTGTATGTTCAGTTGACTTTCCAGAGAAAAAATGCGGCACCACTTGTCTTTCCAATCTGTGCACTGTATTAGGTGAAAACCAATCTGCTTGCAGAAGAAGGAATACAAAGGGTCAAATTAGACAGAGATCTGAGAGCAAAAACAACAATACATACAGAAGATTAAAGTACGCAGATCTCAACAAGTAAGAAAAAACAAAAATACATAGAAGACATACCACTACAAAGATCTCAAGCACTAACTGACCTACAAATGGAGACCGTGAGCAACACAGACACTGACATTGATTTCAAGAACAAACCGATAGGTGGTCTAAAAGGTACAGCAAGGAGCATTAAGCTGCTAATCTAGTCTCAAATGTGAAAGAGAATATAATCCAGATACAAATCCAAGAATACTACTGTATACCAGAAATATACTGCAGGTATGCTTGTATCCAGAAACACTCTGTATTGTGCTCAAGTCAAATGCACCATAAATGCCAAACATAGCATTTCCTGGTAATTTTCTTACATCGAAGAAATCCCATGTGGCTTCCGCCCCAATCCGATTGGTGCATAGGTTAGACTCCGAGGAGTATGGGCCCCGACCCCTAGCTCGCCCCAACTTAAAAACCAGGCTTTGTCTGAGGCAGAGTTCAAAAACCGTGACGTGTGCCTTACCCACTCATCATATATTGCATCTTGACCACTGAACCAAAGCCTTTAAGACAATTTCCAGGTGATTTCCATGAGATTTCAAGAATTTGGATTCCCAAAAGGCCCACATACCGCCAGAACAAATCATTATTTCTGTTGTACCTCAGTGTTGTCAAAGGCACGCTTAAGCCCTAAAGCGAGGCGCAAAACATGCTGAGCGCTTTGCGTCGCTTAGCGGGTGCTTCAGTAAGACATACCTTTCCTTGCCAATGAGCATAATCCTGAAGATGGGATACTAAACAATTGATATTTCACTTTATTGAAAATTTTTTTAATTTCTTTGTCCATATATTTGTTGTTCATACTTATAATTATTAGTCTTGGACTACACATACATATTTGTATTTTTTTTTTTCTTCATTTGTGTCTTTCTTCATTAAAACCCATGCTTTATTTACGCTTTGCGCTTAAAGCTCCAATGGACCTTAGAGCTCTTTCAGCACTTTTCACCTTTGATAACACTGAATTTGTCAGACTGCTGAAATTTGGAGGAAAAAAAACTTCTCAAGCCAAACTACTTCTATAGCATACTGGTACCTGCCACTCCCTTCGTGGAAAAAATATAGGCAATTCAAGATGGCTATTATTTTAACCCTGTAAGAACGCATAATCTTAATTGGTAAAGCCCGTGCAAAAATTTTGACAATGGTAGAAAATGGCACATGCTAAGCTTAGGATTTAAGTAAACAAATCAACTCTTGTACTCCACAGTCCACACATGCAAATCTTAGCATTCTTGTCTTTAGTTCAGTAAATTTCCTCTAGCATCTATTTCACAAGTATGCACCAAAATTATAGTTGGACATTAAAGTACAGAAGAGGATCCAAGTTCTTGTTTTTTCCCGACTCTCATGGTAAGATTGGAAGGTTAATGAATCCATAGTGTAGGATGGGTGGATTACCCAACATCTTCAGCCAGTACCTGCATTTACAAAGAAGTGCATTATAGAGTGGTGAGTAATTTGATTCAATTAGTGCTGGTATAGAGGCAGAGTCTGTCTCTATTTGCAAATTTGTGAATTGGTAAGTTACTGCTAGTTGTAGGCCATGGCATAATGCCTCAAGCTCAATGTATAGAGGAGAAGGACCAGTAGTTGTTTTACTAAAGCCCAGAATCCAGTTCCAGTCGAGTCTCTGATACCCCACCTATCCCTCCTTGCTCGAATCTACCCTTAAAGGCCCCATCTATATTGAGTTTCAATTGGTGTATAGTAGGGGGTTCCCATTGTTAGCTTCAAGGTTTCACGTATTAATTTTGGTGATAACAAACCAATACAATTATTAATCAAAGAATATTTACTTGTGGTAATCTTATTTTTGTACAGGTTTATTCAAGAAAGAAGATGCTGGTAAAGATCCAAACAAATATGGGAAAGAGAATATTATGTGAAGAATTTATCTAGGAAGTTTATTATGGGAAAGAGAATATTATGGAAAAGTGAATATCAAATATTGAATGACTCACTACAATATCAGAAGAAGAATCTACGGAAATTATGGATGGGAAGATTTTCAACATCTTGAGAGGAAAGTTGCTAAAATCATGGAGAAGATTTATTATCGTGTGGAAGGAAGAAACTATATGGAAGAGATGCTACAAGACAAAGGAAGAATATATTTTTATGGAAAGAAAATATATTTGGGTGTAGTATAATCTATATTATGGAAAGAGATTATTTTTCAAGATCAAAAAAGGAGTCAAAGATTTATTGAGATCTATCAGAAAGGAAATATTTTATTAAGAAAGATATTTTTACCAGGTCAAGTACTACAAGGAATTGGCCAAATCTTGCATTTAAGGAATGTTGCACAAAGAAGCTTATTTACTACGGATGAGATGGAAAGTACTGTTCATATAGGAAGAAGCATGAGTTACTGGAATCAATCAAGAATTACTACAATCATGGAAAAGTAAATCATGGGGATTTTGATTGAATCATCATGACTATTCTCAAGTAGATATTCATAAAGATTATATATTGCAGAGAATTATTAATCATGGATCTATTCAAGGAAAGAATTGATATTGGCATCATGATTGGAAATTCAAATTGTCCAATTCAAAAGAAAAGTTCGCATTAACAGAAGATCTCCAAATCTGCCTTATAGATTGTGATCATGTTCAAAAGGGCAAGAAGCAGTAAAGGAAAGTTGGAGCAGCAGCAAAGGAAATCCTTTTCCAAAATTAGAAGACCACTGTAACGGCTAGAATATTCAACGACCAAGTATAAAAGAGAAGATACTTGCAACAGCAAAATTACGCAGCCTTCTATACAATTGTCTATCCAACCACAAGTTCTTTATTCTACTCTTAACAAGCATTGTAATTCACTTTAGTAGATTTACTATGTACTCAAAAGAGATAAGAGAGACAGAAAAATATTGGAGAGGCAGTGTGTCCTAGAGGTTGTGTTATTGTTCGTTTCTTTGGTGAGCGAGTGAAAACCAAAGGGTCGTTGTTGGTGAGCGAGTGAAAACCAACCCTATCAGCGTTGGTGGTGATCGCTGAAAATCAAAAAGGTTGTACTCAATTCAATTCATAAAGAGCTCTAAAAGATAACACTCTTGCAACCCAAGAGGACTGGATTAGGATACCACTTTGGTTCCGAATCAGTATAAAATTTTTGGTGTCATTTACTTTATCGCTCTCATATTATATTCTATTCCTTTACTGTTAATTGTGATTAACACTTGTTTAAATCGAAAGAACTAACAGTTCTGTGCAGGCTGTCTCCGCATAAGTCGACTAGGTCTGAAGAGTAGTCGACTAGAAATTTAAAAAGGCTACAATTCACCCCCCCCCCCCTCTTGTACTTTCACCCATTTGGCAGCAACTTGTAAGGGTCTATCAAGTTTGTTGCAGTTGATGTTACTGCAATGCAAATATTCCATGGCTCTTGAGATAACATGATTACTATCTACTGAGTTATAAAGAATGTGGAAGGTGTTTCTATTCCTATTAAGCCAGAGAAGCCAAAGAGTGAAGGAGAAAAGACAATCCCACGTCAAGGAAGGGTATATGTTGTGTGGTTTTTGTTTGTATAGACTATCTAGCCAGTGGATAGAAAGGGTATCAACTAATTGAATGCTCACACCTAGAGCTTCCCATAAATGCTTTGCTATTGGGCATAATAGGAAAATATGTTGAGATGTTTCCTCCACGGTAGGACATACTGGGCAGTACAAAGAAGTGGCAACTCCAATGTGATTCAGGAAGGTTTTTGTAGGTAATCTATCATGGTAGTGTTGCCAAAGGAAATATTTAAGCTTATTCCAAGTTTTTAATTTCCAGAGCCATTGAGAATTCTTACTATAGGTGTGGGTTGCATTAGCAGTAATAAGAGGGTACACAGATTTTGTGGTGAATATACCATCAGTGGTTGGTGCCCAGGTTGGAGTATCAGTGTAGTTCTCGTTATTAGTGGGTTGAATAGAGTGGATTTGAGTTAGAATATGGGGAGGAAATTCAAAGGATAGTTGTGATAGGTCCCATGTCCCATTGTAGAAGATATTAGAAATCTTGAGGGTTGACTCTTGGTGTGTTAGGGGACCATGGATCATGCTCCTTGCGCTTTTTATGCATGGTGGCCAGTTTGCATGCCAAAAATCTACGTGGGAACCATCTCCAATATGTCATGCAGTAGCATCTTTACAAATGGTCCATCCTGTGAGGATATTTTTCCATATGAAAGAATGAGAAGTATTAGAGTACCGACCAATGTATTTGGAATTAAGCACTGTTGCCCAGATAGTAGTGGGAAGGTTAAAAAAATGCCAAGTGAGGCTTGTAAGAGCCACTTTGTTCTTATCCAAGGATTTTCGTATCCCCAGACCCCCATCCTACTTAGGCAATGAGACAGTATCTCATTTTATATAATGAATTTTTTTGGATGTGGGATTACTTCCCCAAAGGAAATCTCGTTGAATTTTGTCAATTTGACGGTGTGTTTTTTTGGGTAGCATGGTGTATTGCATGATGTGATTAGGGAGAGCATTGAGGGTGGTTTGAATAAGAGTAGCTCTCCCTGCTAGTGATAGGAATTGAGTTTTCCAACTATTAAGTCTTTTGTTGAGGTTGTCAAGGATAAAATTGTAGTCCCTTGGTTAAGGTTTGGTACTCAGAATTGGTAAATCTAGGTATTTCCCAAAGGTGTCACAAATTTTGATATTTAGGATAGGAGACATTGAATTTCTTTGAGAATTTTAGCAATTATTAGAGAAGAGTAGTTTTGATTTTGAATGATTAATTTGTTGCCCTGATAATCTACTGAAGTAGTCAAGACAACGTTTGATTGTGGAAGCAGATTTCTCATTGGCTGCTTCCATTAAGGTTAAATCATCCGCGAAGAATAAATGGGAAAGAGGTGGCCCATTGGAGCTTATTTTAATAGGATCCACAGAGTTAAATCAACTTGGTGATTGATAAGGGTAGATAGTAATTCAATACAAAGGATAAATATATATGGTGACATAGGGTCACCTTGTCTAATGCCCCTAGATGGCTTGAAGAACTCCGTTTGAGATCCTGACCAGGACAGCAATACTAGAGGTAGTAATGCAAGACATGATGAGTTTGGTGATTTTAGGTGGGAAATGAAAGTAGTGGACGGCTCTACGAATAAAAGACCATTCCAGGCGGTCAAATACTTTTTCCAAATCGATTTTAAGGAGCATTTTCCCCTTATTTCCTTTTACTTTCTTATAGTGGTGGATAATTTCTTGAATGATAATGGCATTATCAGCCGCCCGTCGTCCTTTGAGAAAGCTTGATTGAAAAGGGCCTATGAGGGTATCTAAAAAAGGTTTTAGACGGTTGACAATGATTTTGGTAATAACTTTATAGGTAGTATTACAAAGTCCAATAGACCTGAAATTTTTCAGCTCATTGGCATTAGGGAATTTGGGTATCAAGTAGAGGAAAGTAGTGTTAAGCTGTTCAGGGATGGTGAGGTTTTCAAATACAGAGTAACAGTAGTCATAGATTGTTTTATGGACAATGTGCCAATATTTTTGATAATAAAAAAGGATGTATTCCATCCGGACCAGGGGCTTTAAAAGGTTTAAACGAGAAAACAGCCCTAGTAATTTCATGATTGTGCAGTGGTTTATCCAATGCTGATAAATAAGTAGCACTGGATGAGACTGGGAAAGTTTGGGTGGTCAGCCAATTTGAGGAATCATGGCTTGTTTGGTAGATGTTGTGGAAATAATTGAAGGTGTGTTGAAGGATTTTATCGGGATCATTAATCCAATTATTATGAGCATCCTTAGAAAAGGAGATACGATTTTTCCTTCTCCTATTAAGGACACTTATGTGAAAAAATTTAGTACTAGCATCACCTTCACTAAGCCAGTTTATACGTGAACGGAGTTTTCAGTAATCCTCTTCTATTTTTAAAAGAGTGCTATACTCATTAGTGAGGGTTTGCTCGAGATTTTTTAAGAAAACACTCGTAGGATAGTTGGTCGATTTTTGGATTCCACTAAGTCGTGCAAGAATTGTTTTCTTTTTCCTAATAACATCACCAAAATTGTTGGCAGCCCAATCTTTAACCTTATTAGTGAAAAGAGTGGTGGCATTTGATAAATTTTGACCATTCCAACTGTCCATGACCATAGAAGGAAAATCTGGGTGATGGCACCATGGAAGGAATATCTGGGTGATGGCACCAGTATGTTTCAAGTCGGAAAATACGTTTAGTGTGAAGCCTAGTGCAATGAGATAGGGAAATGAGGGGGGTTGTATGATTAGAATAAGTCTTGGGGAGATGGGTAACAAACGCATTCGGGTAATATTCAAGCCATTGTTCGTTAATAAAACACCTATCAAGTCGTTCCACAATTAAATCAGAACGATTATATCTATGATTAGACCATATGTATTTTGCCCCCTTAAACCCAAGATCCATAAGCTGGCAGTGATTAATACAAGATTGAAATCGAGATGCTCTATTGCGATTAATAGGTCTCCCACCCCATTTATCTTGTTGACTAACAACTTCATTGAAATCACCACCTAGGAACCACACGCCCTTAAAATTGTTAGCTATATTTTCTAAGTTTAACCAAAGTTTAGACCTAATATTTACATGCGTGCTAGCATAAACAGTACTAAACAACCAAGGATGGTGATTAGGTAGTACCTGGATCATAGCATGGATTTCCTGACCATCAAGACGGATATGACTGAGTTGGACATGGGAGTCATGCCAAAGGATGTCAATACCCCCCGACTGTCCCTGAGCAGGGATCTCCACCATGTTGGAAAATTAGAAATCATCTCTAATGCCAATGTGATTGGTCATACGAGTTTCCAGGATGGCAACTAGGGAAGGGTTGTGGGTAGTCAGTAGGTCCCTAAAATGATGCCTAAACTCATCATTGTTTCCACCCATGATGTTCCAAATCACAAAATTAGGAAGTCTACTCATTGAGGGATCGGGGGTGGGGGGGGGGGGATTTTGTAGAACACTGCCATTCACTGATGGGCTTAGTATTACTGCGAAGTTGCCTACTGCCTCGTTTAGTGGAGGTCTGATATCGAGTGAACATTTGTACAGCTCCTGTGGGCACTTGCACACAAACTTCTTGTCCTCCATGCCTGAAACAGCATGATCTTAACTGCGTGTAGGTTTGAAATTTCTGTGAACGATGTTATGTTTAGTGGTGGGATGATCTGTTCTTGCTCTACTATTCCTTCCTCTTCTTGTACGGGTGCATTGTGATGGAGATGAGGTTGTGTTTGATGAATATCCATCGATGGTGGGAAATATTGAGGCACAGGTTGCCATGCATGGATCAAAGGAGGAGTGTTTTGATCCTGTGGAGCAAAGATTGGGAGCTGGTAAAAGAGCTGCATGTTCTGCAATGGATTCTAGTGGTGTGGGAGATTCCAATGAGCTTGCATGTTATGGAGTAAAGCAGGTGCCAATGCTGGAGCTATGGGATCGAGAACATTCATCACCCAAAGGTGGTTGATGTAGTTTGACATTTCTAGCCTCATGCCCTCTGAAATTAGCTGAGCTAGAATATGAGGGTTTGGAGGACAAATAGAACCTCCTGGTTCTGGATGTTCAACGTAAAGAAGGCTGCTTGTCCCTGAAGCCCTTGTTCCAATCATGTCGTTGGTTGATGGTCCTGAGGGAGGGTATTCGTGACATAGATTGGAAGATTTGGGTTTGGTACTTGGTTGTCCATTCTGGATAGTATGGATGGACGTTGGTGGGGGATAATTGGTTTAGTGGTATTCTTCTCCTTGTGAAAGGTTGTGGTGGATTCATGTTGAGAAGTGGAAGATGTAGAGGCAGTAGGAACTTGGGGTTCGTGAGGCAATGATTGAGTAGGTAATATAGAGTTTTGGGTTTGCATGCTTTGTTTAGTTGCTTCCGACTCTAGGTTATCCCTCATTGGGGAATTAGTTTGCATGTCCACGGGGCTAGCGTTGTGTGACAAGTTGTTAACTGGTGTATTAGGGGAATTATGGGTAAGAGGGGGCGTGCCAAGTAGATGTTTAGGGAGTGGGGCTGCTGGTTTGTCTATAGTGGTATTGCATGCAGCAGCTGTGCCACGTGGATCATCAAACCTGTGACATAGATAAGATTTACGTTCATGCAGTTGGATATCACTTTGGGGGGTAGTGGAGTGGTTTCGTGTGGGAAAAGAGTGGGGATCGTCTGTGGATTGGCTATGAAAAATTTCATCCAAATCCATTATGGCTGATTCCTCTTCCTTAGTTAAATCATTGCTATTAGCAAGCAATGATGAAAATTTATTAGAGGTCCAAATAGTAACAGTAGGATTAGCATTAGGATTATGAAGTTCTATAGTAGGTTGATTGGTAAATTCGTGTAATTTTTGTTGCTCAGAAGTAAAAGGATTTTTAGGCTTAAAAGTTAATTTTTGATTATTTAGGAACTTACCTGATGTTGCATCAAAAATATTAACACTGATACCTGTTTGGTTATCCGGGTTTCTGGCCTTTGGAGGAGTGGTAATGTTGCGTTTATGCTTATGTCCTTTTGGGAATGACACTGTTTGCCACTGCTACTCAGTGGAGTGTCCTTTACCTGTTGAGTTAGAGGAGATCACCCAGGGTCCCGTTTGTGTCTGCTTCACTGGCTCTGTTTTAGGGTAGATGCATGAAGGTGCTGTGTGACCTAAACGACCACATGCTTTACACAAAAAGTTTTCTCCTTCATACACTAATTATTGTAGATGAGAACCTATTTGAATTGCAGTTTGGACAGGTTGGTCTAATGGGACTTGCACACACAGTCTGGCATACCTCCCTCTGATTGTTGAACTGGTACAGGCATCTATACGCAGTAGCTTCCCAATTGAGTTACCAATATTTCCAAGCACTATCCCATCGTAGAATTCTGTAGATAACTGAGAAAGACGAACCCAGACGGCTGAGTATAGTTCCTTGGCTTTACTAGCCACAAAATTAGGCTCCCATCTTCTAACGGAGAGGTAATGACCATTGATAAGCCATGGCGCTTGTTGTAGAGCTTTTGCCATGTTTTCTTCTTTGGTAAATTAACTACATGAAAATCTGATCCTAGGTCAATTAATGAAAATATTTCATTTGGTTTCCAAAGGTCTTGGATCCTTCTTTTTAGATATTGATGGACCACTCTTTTACCTAGGAGTTTGATTATGAGAGAGAACCGCCATGGTGAGTACATGCGCTGCCTGTCCACATCTGATAGGGAGATATGAGTGAATTGTTGGGACAGTGATTCATGGTCGGAATCATCTCTCATTGGCTCAGCATAGTCAAGCATGGTGATGTTGGAGTTAATTTGTGTATTTGTTATAAATTCATGGGAGAGTAATTTCTCCTAAATGAGGGATTGTTTGAAATATTTGGGGCGGAATTAGTTGGTGATAATGGATGATCAGTAGTTTGATCAGGTGGTTTTGAAGGAATGGATGCATAAGATAAATTTGTTTCTGGGTTCATTCCTTGCTAATTAATGTAGAAGTTGAGATTGTAGGTGAGTAGAGAGAAGGTAGAGTTTCTCTCACTAGTGAAGGGAAAGTGTTTGATTTAAACTTATTTCAAAACTTTAAATTTCTAATTTTTTTCTCAAATAAAAAATGGGATAGTGATCAAAAAAGTGTTCAAACTTCAAAAATTATCAAAAAATTACGAAAGAAATCAAGATTAAAGATATATTAATAGTCAAAGAACTAAAGAAGAGTCTCAACTCTTATTTGTCATTGGCGAGTCGGAGTTGACGGATATCTGCTACTTTATCAAAGTGATGGTTAAAGAAGGTTGTGGCAGAATGATCTATATTTTTTTATTTATGGAGCGATAAGTTATAATTTGAAGCTTTTAATTTTAAGGAAGGGATTTGAAAAAGAATAAATTAATTAAGTTTACTATTATTTCTAAATACTAAACTACAATTGAATTCAATCAAATATAAAAGTAATAAATAAAGCAGTGATTGTTGAAAAAGGTTGTGACAAAATAATTTGTATTTTTCTATTGTGGAGCGATAAGTTGCTATTTGAAGCTTTTAAGTTTAAGAAGGGGATTTGAAAAAGGATAAATTAACTATGTAGTACTAAACTATAATTGAATTCAACAAAATATAAAAGTAATAAATAAAACTCATTAGTACACTAATTCAAAGAAATTCGTACAAAATAGAAGGAGGAGAAAAAGGCTGAAGATAGTCTCGAACCCACGTCATCCAGCAAAAGGAGGAAACTAAAGCGCCCCTATAACCATTCCTTCCGTCTGCCTTTTTGTGTTTGGGGGCACAAGTAAAATATTTAATGGGTCCCAACTGTATGTACAAATATATGGAGTTCGAAACTAAAAGGTTGCAAATTTTGACTCAAGAGAAAAAAATAGGTGAAAAAAATCTTGAAGACCATATTATGTACTAGTGCATCTAAAACATGCGCTATATCTTAACGGCCAGTTACCTCCGTTAAGGTATAGCGCATGTAATACTCAGTAGTTGTGCCATAGCAATTCATAGCGCATCAATTATATGCGCTATGTACAATTGTACTGATGATGAAGTGCTTCCCATGACAAGCATGATTGTGCCACATAAACTAACTCCGAGTCACTCTCTAAGCTTCTCATGATGACTGGAAGGTTCTTTGCACTCCCAATGCCTAATCCCCTTGCCTTTTTCACCTACCCATTTATGTTTGTACAAGTATAGTGCAAGTAATAAAATTTCTTTGTACATAGGGCATATAATTAATAATGCGCTACGCAATGAATTATTATGGTTGTAATACTGAGTATAGCACATGTAATACATGTGTTATACCTTAATGGGATAACTTGCCGTTAAGGTATAGCACGCGTTTTAGATGCGTTAATATGGTCCTCAACACTTTTTTCTACCTATTTTTGTCTCTTGAGTCAAAATTTACAATCTTTTGGTTCCGGACTCCAAATATATATAAGATATATATACAGGATTTTTGCTGTGGTAACGGGGTCCCGTGACCCCTCAACTCACAACCAAGGTCCGCCTTAGTCATAAATAATTACTATTTTGAGACTTGAAAGAACTTGAAAAGAAGAAAAATCAGATTAGAAATTTTTTTTCCCAATGTGACTTTGGTTCCGCCACAATATTCGAGCACACTTGTGTAAAATCTAAGGCATTCTCTTGCTTTTCTAAAAATTCTTTATTCAAAACTATCACCGTTTGCCTAGACCTTTTCCATCCTACTACATGTTAGAAAATAATAAACAAAAATGGCTTTGAGGCGTAAAAATCGACTGTCCTTAAAGAGTTATCGCATGTATACTAATTTAGGGAAATACAAAATGATTCTCTTCAAGATACAACAAAACCTGCAATAATACTTGTGGTTTTCTATACCACTTCGTTGGAAACTCTTGTGTATATATAGGCAACCAACATACTCTTTTAGAAAAGATGTCTTGCTTCACAAACAGACAGATCTGGACAGACACTTTCATAACAGACATAACTGTTTATTCGAATTTTGAATTTAAAATTCAAATAAATTGGTTTTTCTGTCACAAAAAATAGTAATTAACTTTAGGATCCGACCGGCACGCGCCCAAGCCCAAATTCAAGTCTTTGATTATATAATATATAAATATATAGTGTACTTAATTGCACTTACTTAAAAGTATGTATCCTAAATCAAAGACATGAAAGGTACAAGTGCTTAAAAAGCTCCAAAAAAGCCTTCTCTCTTCCGATGTGGGAACAATCCCACTTTCCAACTCTAAAATAGCAAACTA